CCCCCCCCCAATAGCTAGCAATCCAAAACAGCCCAGTGGAGCCTGAGCGGTGGGTGTTGTCTTCTGACACACTTCCTGTGATGTCAGGGGATGTGGCATATGCAAATAAGTTATGCTAATGAGTTATGCTAATGAGCTCCTGCACCTCTTTTCCTAAAAAATGACCCCTGGTTCTGTTCTTTGGCTCTGTCATCAACCAAAGGGGAGACTGCAACCAAGAAATCAGAACGAAACTGAGACTGGGAAGGGCAGTCATAAAGGAGCTAGAAAAGATCCTGAAGTGTAAGGATGTGTTCCTGCAGACCAAAGATCAAGATCAGGGGTGTCGAACTCATTTTTTACGCGGGCCGGATCTGACATAAACGAGATCTTGTTGGGCCGGGCCACGTGTGTCATAAAATGTCATGCCACGTAGCGGAGATATAAACTTTATAAAGGACACAAACACAAAGGGTTTTTCCCCCTTAAAATAAAAACATGCTTAAAACATTAGCACTCTTGCAATACTTTATTTAACAGTGTCTGATAACTGACACCTCTTGCATGAATTATTGCATCAAATTGCATGAATTATTGCATCAAAACATCTGTGCTGTTGCAATCTTGACTATGCTGTTCAGGTGTGTATCTGTAAGCTGCAAACCTACGATGATGCAGCAGCAGAATGGGAAGAAGCAGAAGACAGCCAGAGCCAGTTCCACTGCGGGCCTGATAGAAGCCCTCCGGGGGCCTGATCCGGCCCCTGGGCCACATGTTTGACACCCCTGATCAAGATAATTCATGCCATAGTATCCCCCATGACTGTGAAAGTTGGACGATTAAGAAATCTGACAAAAAGGAAGTTGCTTCATTTGAAATGTGTTTGGACGAGGGTTTTAGGGATACCTGATTATAAATTTTTTATTGCTTTTATACTACACACTACATAGAAACAAGGGGTGGGTAAACACTAACAGACTACAGGTGTTAGGACAGCATTAGTAAAAGAAAGGCTAACAGGAGTTATATATATTGCTGGTAATAAACACTTATTCATAGAATCATAGAATGTTAGAGTTGGAAGGGACCTCGCAGGTCATCTAGTCCAGCCTCCTGCCCTCTGCCCTACAACATCCCCGAAAGATGGTCTTCCAGCCTCCACTTGAAAACGTCCAGCGAAGGAGCATCCACCACCTCCCGAGGCAGTCTGTTCCACTGTTTCTCGTATTAAGTCATACCAGAGTAAAGCTTATTTTCAGTTTATAACGGTAAGTAAAAGCTTAAAATATAAGTATTTGCTCTGAGCAAGTAAGCAAGATAATTATCCCTTCAAGTGCTTATATCTCCGTTACATTTTCTTCTTGTTTCTTCTTCCCTTCTTTTTATCTTTATCAAAGTCTGCTTTGCCTTTGGGTAATCTGGGTGTAGCTGCCCCTAATTCTGATGAGGAATCTTTCTTCAGATGAACAGGTTGTATCCGATTCTGAACTTCTCGAGCCACGCAAGCGGCATTCTCCTTCTTCTGGATGACTCTTCTCTTCTTCTGGTGTTATTTCCTTTGGTAATCCTTGAACTTTCTCCAAAAATCGTTTTGCTTTATCAACAGAGTCAATCTCTACAAGTGACCTGATTGTACACCACTAAATAAAGCGTTGTTATATCAATATGAGAACTCCGTACAGTATTTGTACGTTATATTTCAGGTTTCTCTGAAGAAGCCTCATGGCAAAACATGAAGGGATTTTTTTAAAAAAAAATAATATGTATTTTCCTTACTTGCAGCCAGCAGCCTTGGCCTTGTTTTTATCTGTGACGGCTGCAGCCTTCTGATTTTCTCATTGATTCCAGAAAACAACGGAAGTATCCTGGTCTCCTTTTATGAGAAAGTGGCTCAGGCAGCAGGCAAAATCTCAGATCCTGGACGCTTAGGGTTAAGAACATAAGAGAAGCCATGTTGGGTCAGCCCAGTGGCCCATCCAGTCCGACACTCTGTGTCACACTGTGGCCAAAACCCAGGGGCCATCAGAAGGTCCACCAGTAGAGCCGGAACTCCAGAAACCCTCCCACTGTTGCCCCACAAGCACCAGAAATACAGAGCATCACTTGCCCCAGACAGAAATGTGTTCCATCTATACCTTGTGGCTGATAGCCACTGATGGACCTGTGCGAAGAACACAAGAGAAGCCGATGTTGGGTCAGGCCAGTGGCCCATCCAGTCCAACACTCTGTGTCACACAGTGGCCCAAACCCAGGGGCCACCAGGAGGTCCAGCAGTGGGGCCAGGACACTCGAAGCCCTCCCACTGTTGCCCCCCCCCCCAAGCACCAAGAACACAGAGCATCACTTGCCCCAGACAGAGAGTTCCTATCTGTACCTTGTGGCTAAGAGCCACTGATGGACCTCTGCTCCATATGCTTATCCAATTCCCTCTTGAAGCCGTCCATGCTTGTAGCCACCACCACCTCCTGTGGCAGTGAATTCCATGTGTTCATCACGAAGGACTTCCTTTGATCTGTTCTAATTGCCGACCGCTCAGCAATTTCATGGAGTGCCCATGGGTTCTTGTATTGTGAAAAAAGGAAGAAAAGTCCTTCTTTCTCTACCCGCTCTGTCCCATGCATAATCTTGTAAACCTCGATCATGTCACCCCTCAGCTGTCGTTTCTCCAAGCTAAAGAGCCCTAACCTCTTTAACCTTTCTTCACAGCTCTGAGTTGGGAAATTCCTGGAAATTTAGGGGTGCTGCCTTGGGCGGGCAGCGTACAATACCACCCTCCCAAGCAGCCATTTTCTCCAGGGAAACTGATCTCTACGGCCTGGAGATCAGTGCTAATTCCAGGGGTCATTTCCTGCAGGAGCGCACAGGAGTGGAGCTCTGGCAGTAAAGAGCCCGGGGGGCGGGCACATGCAACAAGCCCCACCCCCTGCTCCCAGCAGCCCTCAGTCAGAGCAAGAAGCAGCCAGGTAAGCTGCAGAGGGCCCCCCCCCCAGCTCCCCGGTCCAAAACAGTCCAGTGCCCCCCAATAGCTAGCAATCCAAAACAGTCCAGTGGAGCCTAAGCGGTGGGTGTCGCCTTCTGACGCACTTCCGGTGATGTCAGGGTGTGTGGCATATGCAAATAAGTTATGCTAATGTTATGCTAATGAGCCCCTGCACCTCTTTTTCTACGAAATGACCCCTGCGTAATTCTACCAGATCTCCAGCCACCACCTGGCAGTTGGCACCCCGTTGGATGTTACAGTGAAAGTAGAGACTGTGCTGGTTTGCAGGCTATGCAATGAACAGTGTTCCCTCTAAGCTGAGTTAGTGTGAGTTGGCTCACCATTTCTTATCCTCCAGCTCACCCATTGTTGTCTTAGCTCAGGAAGGAGGGCTCCACAGCAAACTAATTGATGCAGAAGCCAAATCACTCGCTCACAACTTTAATGCCAGTGGCTCACAAAGTAGGATCTTTGCTCACAAGACTCCACAGCTTAGAGGGATCACTGGCAGTGAATTATACCAGGTTACCGGGGGTGGGGGTGGCGAGGTAGAGAAAGCAGTCGCGAGGAAGGCTTGTACATTAGCCGGCAAGGCTTCCAAGAAGCTCTCTTTATTTCCCGGTGCAACTGCCGAGCGCACCAGTCGAAACAAAAATAAAAAAGAGACACAACCAAAATCACCGGGGACAGCCCGGAACCACGAAGCTCCACCCCGGTTTGGATCCAGGGCCTCCCCAATTCGCCAAGCGTGGTCCCTGCCTGCCTGTGGGCCCCTCGTCCCTCACCTTGCCATGATGCGCCTCTACCGCCTTGGCAGGGCGGTTATTTCACCAGCCTGGGTTTCGGCAATGGCTCGGGGCAATTAAAGCCTTTTGGTTTGGGGAGTGGGGGGGGGTGAGACCAGGCTGAAGAGGAAGCAACCAGCAAGGGGGGGGGGATGGGCCGTGCTCTCCAGGAAAAGGGGCGGGGGGAGACCTGGATAGCTGCGCCCTGTCTGGGATGGAAGGGAGAGGCCGAAGGGCAGTAGGATGAGCTGGAGGCTGCCTTCTGGGGGTCCTGCAAGTGGGGGACACACGAACAATGTGCGGGGAAATGCTGGGAGAAGAGTGTGGAGCATCATTTACACAGAGAGAGAGAGAGAGAGAGAGAGAGCTGTCCTCCTTTAGCAACACAAATGCACAATACCAAATTGATAGGGATTATGGGAGGGGGGGCCTGGCGGGTTCCAAGCGCAGCCAAGGGCGCCTCCCCTTTCCCGGCACCCCTGCAACCCCCGGCAGGAACAAAAAAGCGAGGCCAGGATCTACGCCAGAGTAAAGGCTGTGCTCAGAACGGGCCACCTGTTGGCTTCCATCCCACATGCAAAAATCCCACCCCCGGGGGAGTCCCACCCCCCAATCTAACAAGAGCCGGGAGGGGGCCGGTGGGGCCGGGAAACACGGACGGGAAGGTCGCGTGCTACTTCTTCAGAATCTGAGCCTTGGCGCAGTTGATCTTGTTGGCGACGGAGGAGTCGGTGATCGCCGTGCACTTGGACAGGACGAGGTTCATCTCGTTCTCGTTCTTGTGTTCGATGGCTGCGTCGGCCGCCTGGCCCAGATCCCTGCCGTTAGGGGAAGGAGGAGGAGGAGGAGGAGGAAGAGTAGAGATTGGCTTTATACCCTGCCCTTCACTCGGAGTCTCAGAGTGGCTTACAATCTCCTTCCTGTTTGGAGTCGTGGTTAAGTGCGTGGACTCTAATCTGGGAGAACCGGGTTTGATTCCCCACTCCTCCACTTGCACCTGTTGGATGACCTTGGGGAAGCCGTAGTTCTGATAAGAGCTGTCCTTGAAAAAGAGCCGTTTCTGTCAAGAGCTCCCTCAGCCCCACCCACCTCACAGGGTGTCTGTTGTGGGGAGGGGAAGGGAAAGGAGTTTGTAAGCCGCTCTGAGACTCCTTCAGGTAGTGAAGGGTGGGGGTATAAATCCAATCTCTTCTTCTTCTTCCCTTCCTCTCTCCACAACAGACACCCTGTGAGGTAGGTGGGGGGTTGAGAGAGTCCTGAGAGAACTTGTGACTGACCCAAGATCACCCAGCAGGCTTCATGTGGAGGAGGCGGAAATGAAACCCGATTCTGCAGAACACAGTCTGCCACTCTTGACCACTACACCACAGCTGGCTCTCAGAAGGCGCAAGGGAGGCAGTTGAGGGGAAGGGGGAAATGGAGGCACAGCTGGGAGGGGAAGATTGAGGGGGGGCAGGAGGACGGAAGCTGTGACGGGGGACCCATTAAGAGTCCCATAAATACTTGCAGCCGTTCTGGGCGTGGGGCATGACGCGGTCAGGCAACCCCCGCATAAGCTCTAAAGCAGAGACTATTCCTATTTCAGTCCCTCCCTCCATAGATTCCAGGACATAAAGCAGACCGGTGCGTGCCAGGTAGAGAGCACGAAACCGGTGTGCTTCAGACAGGCGTTCCCTCTAAACTGAGTTAGTGTGAGCTGGCTCATAAGAACATAAGAGAAGCCCATGTTGGATCAGGCCAGTGGCCCATCCAGTCCAACACTCTGTGTCAAACAGTGGCCAGAAATACCAGTGCCATCAGGAGGTCCAGCAGTGGGGCCAGGACTCCAGGAGCCCTCCCACTGTTGACCCCCCCCCCAAGCACCAAGAAGACAGAGCATCACTTGCCCCAGAGCCCCTATCTATACCACTGATGGACCTCTGCTCCATATGCTAATCTAATTCCCTTTTGAAGCCGTCCATGCTTGTAGCCGCCACCACCTCCTGTGGCAGTGAATTCCATGTGTTCATCACTCTTTGGGTGAAGAAGTACTTCCTTTTATCCATTCTAACCCGACCACTCAGCAATTTCATGGAGTGCCCACGAGTTCTTGTTTTGTGAGAAAGGGAGAAAAGTACCTCTTTCTCTACCTGCTCTATCCCAGGCATAATCTTATAAACCTCGATCATGTCACCCCTCAGTCGTCGTTTCTCCAAGCTAAAGAGCCCTAAGCGCTTTAACCTTCCCTCATAGGGAAAGTGTTTCAACCCTTTTATCATTCGAGTTGCCCTTTTCTGCACTTTTTCCAAAGCTATAATATCCTTTTTAAGGTGTGGTGACCAGAACTGCACACAGTATTCCAAATGAAACAGTTCTTTAGCCTCCGGCTCACACATTTTTGTCTTTAGCTTAGGAAGTAGGGCTCCGGAGCAAACTAATTTCTGCAGCAGCCAAATGGCTCGCTCACAACTTTAATGCCAGGAGCTCAAAAAGTAGAATCTTTGCTCACAAGATTCCATGGCTTAGAGGGAGCATTGCTCCCCAAGGGCTTGGGTCCCATCTGCAGAGGAAGGCGCTTTCATCCAAGCTCCAGAAAATGATGGATCTGAACCGGTGCTTGACGGCTGTCTCCGTTAACCCCCCCCCCCCATTCCCGTCAGCCCTTCCCGGCTGTGCCTGGATCCACCCGCGGAGGGCAGAGCATCGCCACCCTGGCCTGTTGGGAGGGGAGAGGGAGGGCGGACGTACCCCACCAAGATCAAGGCTTTCACCCTCTGCTCTGGGGCGACGCGGAGGGTGTACTTCTTGGCCTCGTGGCGGTTGTGGTGCTTCATGCAGATCTCAACGAAGGGCTGCGAGAAAGAAGCCCATATCAACACAGTGCGTTTGCATTTGTGCATCTGTTCATAGGCATAAGAACATACGAACATGAGAGAAGCCCATGTTGGATCAGGCCAATGGCCCGTCCAGTCCAACACTCTGTCACACAGTGGCCAAGAATACCAGGGGCCATCAGGAGGTCCATCAGCGGGGCCAAAACACTAGAAGCCCTCCCACTGTTGCCCCACCCCCAAAGCACCAAGAGTACAGAGCATCCCTTGCCCCAGACAGAGACTTCCTATCTATACCTTCCGGCTAAGAACCACTGATGGACCCCTGCTCCAGATGTTTATCCGTAAGAACATAAGAGAAGCCAATGTTGGATCAGGCCAGTCCAGTCCAACACAAATTCTTGATAGATGAACAGTGGCTGAGGGTGGTGTTGTCTGTACCAGGGTAACGACGCAGGAAGGAAGGGTTAGAAGCCCTCCACTCCCTGCCTCAGCACCACGGCCCCAATCCAAATCACCCCTCTCCTGCAGACCTTTGTTAAAATCTAAAAGGATGCGGAGAAATCAGAACCCGAGACTCTTGCATGTCGGGTGGTGTGATCCCCGTTTGGTGAGGCTGGGATTCGCTCAGCCCCTCTTCCTTACCATATATCCGATGGGCGACTTCTTACACTTGGAGAACTTTTCCAGTTCGTCCCAGTCTTCCCGCTCAGCCAAGGCGCTGACCTTCAGCCACCAGAACCTGTAAAAGCATGAAGGGAGCATTAAGAACATCAGAAGAGCACTGCTGGACCAGACCAGTGAGGGTCCACCTAGTCCAGCCTCCTGTCTCACACAGCGGCCAGCCAGTTCCTCTGGAGGGCTAAGAACAGGGCAGAGAGGCCGAGGCCTTCCCCTGATCGGAACACCAGAAAGAGCCCTGCTGGATCAGACCAGTGAGGGTCCGTCTGGTCCAGCATCCTGTCTCACACAGGGGCCAACCAGTTCCTCTGGAGGGCCAACAACAGGGCAGGGAGGCCGAGGCCTTCCCCTGATAAGAACCTCAGAAGAGCCCTGCTGGGTCAGACCAGGGAGGGTCCATCTAGTCCAGCCTCCTGTCTCACACAGGGGCCAGCCAGTTCCTCTGGAGGGCCAACAACAGGGCAGAGAGGCCGAGGCCTTCCGCTGATGTTGCCTCGTGGCTCTGGGATCCAGAGGCTTAGTGCCTCTGAATGTGGAGGTTCCCCTCAGTCAGCATGGCTAGTGGCCACTGATAGGCCTCTCCTCCATGAATCTATCTAATCCACTGCAGAGCCACACTGGCCACATAAGACCGATGCACTGGAGCCTGTCTATCAAGCTCAGAAGAAGAAATTGGATTTAGACCCCACCTTTCATCTGCAGTCTCAGAGTGGCTTACAAATCTCCTTTCCTGTGAGGTAGGTGGGGCTGAGAGAGCTCTTTCGAGGACTGCCCTGGAGAGAACAGCTCTGAGAGAACTTGTGACTGACCCAACGTCACCCAGCTGGCTGCATGTGGAGGAGGAGTGCGGAATCAGATTAGTCCTCCCAGTTCTCCCAGATTAGAGTCTGCCGCTCTTAACCACGACACCAAACATGGTGCTCGGGGGTGCCATGGTGCCAGCCAACACCTTTCTTGGTGCCTACCTAGTTTTTTTTAGAAAGTGGGCATGCCCAGGCGGTCCCAGCAGAGCTTCTGATTGGCCAGTGTGGATCTGACAGGTACTGCCAAATGAGCGTTTTGTTGCTAGCTCGACAGGCCTCTTTGCGTGCATACCAGAAAATATTTTTAAACAATCCGCTTATTTCAGAGAGGGATCCTGATAAACACGGCTCCTGCCTGAAATGCTGAAGAAGTATAAAGAAAACAGTCATGAACGTCTGGCCCACAAATCAAGCAGCCGACAGGACTTGCAAAGAAAATGCTTACTATGGCCTCGGTCATACGGGCCGGAGAATGCGGGGGAAAGCGTGGCTGTTTGCCCTGGGGCAAAATAACGCACGGTTGCGCGAGCAGACGTCCCGTGGAGGTCCCGTGGTTAGGGGGGAGGTGCCAATCACAGGACAATCCTGCGGCGCTGCAAAGAAGCGGGGCTGCGGGGCAAACGGGGTTGTGCTTTTTTAAAAAAAAAAAAACTAAAGTGTGCGCATGCTCCGTTGGATGCACACAAGCACCTTGGAGGTACTAGTTTTTAACTGCGCATCTTCGGCGGGAAGCCTCGGGTGAGCCATGGGAGCTCTACGCTTCCCAGATGTGGCGGTGAGATTGCGCCTGGAAAATCTGCCTATCTTCCATCTCTCTAGCATGCCTAATGCTCCGTGTGACCACAGCCTATGTATTCCAGTCCGAAGCACCACAACACAATAAATCAGTTCCTACAAATCATAAGAAAATCCTTGTGCAAAGGTACATCATGAACGTCGTCTCCGGATTATATAACAGTATTTCAAAATGGGATCTTCCTCAGGAAAAGTTAGAGTGGTCCAAAAATTCTCTTGTTCATAAAGTGCTTTACAACAAGTCCTGAAAGATGATACATTCGGATAGGACGCTGATCTCAGTAAATGCTCAGGCTCGAGTCTGCTGCTAAGCGTCTCAAGGATCTTAGGTGATTTGTGGGTCAGACACTCACGACTGCTTTCTTTATACTGGTCCTCTGTTTAGGTCCTGCTTGTCCACATCTGTCTTGTGAAATGCTGAAGCGCCACCTGCAAGTCGGCAACCCTGTGGTCCAGACTGTGAGCTTCAGTCTAGGGCAGTGATGGCGAACCTTTTGGAGACCCGAGTGCCCAAACTGCGACCCAAAACCCACTCATTTATCGCAAAGTGCCAACACGGCAATTTAACCTGAATGCTGAGGTTTTACTTTAGGGGAAAACAACTCCTACATTAACTTAAGATGGTCCAAACAAAGTAAGGAAAGCAATCCCAAATGCTTTCATTTACTTAAAATTACTTGGCAGAGAATTCAACACTTTAATGATGGTCTGGGCCTGGCTGAAGCGATGGCACGCGTGCCCACAGAGGGGGCTCTGAGTGCCACCTCTGGCACCCATGCCATAGGTTCGCCACCACTGGTCTAGGGGAAACACCAGCATCTGCAGGGGCAGTTGGCTTCTATGCCCGCTCCGCGCCCCTCTCCTCTTTGGGGGGGCACCGAACCCTCCCCTCCCACTCCTCCGCCCGGGGCAGCCGCTCTGACCGTTTGTCGGGGATCTTGAAGTCGCGGTAGAGCTGCTCGGCCTTCTTGTGGTTCTTGTCCAGGATGAGCTTGTAGACGGTGTCGTGGAGGGAGTAGTCCAGGTACGGCCGGTCCTCCTCCTTCTGCATGCGGTGCTGGAACCGCAGCAGCTTGACCTGGTCTTCGGTGGCCTGGCGGGTGGGCGGGGAAGAGGTCACGGGGGGGCGGCTCCGGAGGGGATGCTTTGGGTGCAGGGCACGGCCCCCCCCCCCGATGCAGCAGCAGCAGCCGCTTTGCTTCTTAAAACGAAAAGCAACTTTTTTTTGGGGGGGGGGGGACTATTGGGGTGGGGAACGGCAAGAAGAAAAAGACCGAAGGGATCCCTCTTTTGTGTCTGGGAGAACCCGGGGAGGGGAGGTGGAGTGGGAGAGCACCGCCTTTCGGGGAAGCCGCTCCACCGTTTGCTCCGATCTTCTCAGAGAAGAATTCCAGACAACCTTCCAAGAAAGGTTAAGAGTGGTTCCTCAGTGGAACGGGCTTCCTCGGGAGGCGGTGGGCTCTCCTTCTTGGGAGGTTTTCAAGCAGAGGCGAGATGGCCCTCTGACAGCAAGGCTGATTCTGTGAACTGAGGCAGACCACGAGAAGGGAGGGCAGGAAGGGTTGCCTCGGTGCTCAGTTCTCTTGGCCCTTTCTTACACGCCCAGGGAAATGCCGATCGCCACTTGGGGTCAGGAAGCAATTTTCCTCCAGGCCAGTTTGGCCGGAGATCCTGGAGGTTTCTTGTCATCTTCTGGGCATGGAGCAGGGGTCACTGTGTGTGTGTGAGGTATTTGTGAATGTCCTGCCTTGTGCAGGGGGTTGGACTAGATGACCCTGGAGGTCCCTTCCAGTTCTATGATTCTAGGAAGACCAGTGTGTCTCGGAGGGCAGGTCAGAAAGCGGAGATTTGGTGGCGATTCTTTGGCGGCGTTGTTTGCAGGCAGGGCCCGGATCCAGAGCGCGATGGGGGAGAGAAGCCTCACCTTGGCAGCAAACTCATTCTTGGCTTTGTAATATTCGTCCACGGCATTCATCAGGCTCGCCACACGCCCCTCGATCCGCTGAGAAGGAAAGAATGCAGGACAGATTGGGCCCAGAGAAGAGAGAACAGGTCTAGGTTGGTGGCTCACATAAGAACATACAAAGAACTCAATAGTCCACCTAGTCCAGCCTCCTGTCTCACACAGTAGCCAACCAGTTCCTCTGGAGGGCCAGCAACAGGGCAGAGAGGCCGAGGCCTTCATAAGAACATCAGAAGAGCCCTGCTGGATCAGACCAGTGAGGGTCCATCTAGTCCAGCATCCTATCTCACACAGGGGCCAACCAGTTCCTCTGGAGGGCCAACAGCAGGGCAGGGAGGCTGAGGCCTTCCCCTGATAAGAACCTCAGAAGAGCCCTGCTGGATCAGACCAGTGGTCCACCTAGTCTAGCACCCAGTGGCCAACCAATTCCTCTGGAGGGCCAGCAACAGGGCAGACAGGCCGAGACCTTCATAAGAACATCAGAAGAGCCCTGCTGGGTCCGACCAGGGTTCCATCCAGTCCAGCATCCTGTCTCACACAGGGGCCAACCAGTTCCTCTGGAGGGCCAACAACAGGGCAGGGAGGCCGAAGCCTTCCCCTGATGTTTCCTCCTGGCTCTGGGATTCAAAGGGTGGCACAGTGTGTGACTGGAATAAAAAAGGCCAACGCTATGCTGGGGATTATTAGGAATGGAGTTGAAAACAAATCAGCCAGTATCATAATGCCCCTATATAAATCAATGGTGCAACCTCATTTGGAGTACTGTGTACAGTTCTGGTCACCACACCACAAAAAGGATATTGTAGTATTGGAAAAAGTGCAGAAAAGGGCAACTAGAATGATAAAAGGGTTGGGACACTTTCCCTATGAAGAAAGGTTAAAACACTTGGGGATCTTTAGGTTGGAGAAACAACGGCTGAGGGGTGACATGATTGAGGTTTATAAGATTATGCATGGGAAAGAGCAGGTAGAGAAAGAGGTACTTTTCTCCCTTTCTCACAAGACAAGAACTCGTGGGCACTCCATGAAATTGCTGAGCAGTCGGGTTAGAATGGATCAAAGGGAGTCCTTCTTCACCCAAAGAGTGATTAACACTTGGAACTCACTGCCACAGGAGCGCCCACCTGCTCATTGGTGTAGCTGGAGCGGACAAAGAAGTTCCCGAGTTCCTGATGATCGTCGTCTTGGTTGTAGAGGTCTTTGAGTGTATCCAGCTCTTGGTGTTTGCAGAACTGGGGATGAGAAAACCGAATGTTAAGAGAGGCCAGCCCAAGAGGAAAGAATAAGCTACCCTGCAGTATTGTTGGGAAAACCCAATGAGAAATAGTGTTGGCAATTCTGATTTGCTGCGTTTTTACCCCACCCCAAGCAGGAGCTGCGGTGGCTCAAGTGGTTAAGATGCTGAACTGCAGGCTGTGGAAGGTCAGTAGTTCAGCAGTTCGAGTCCCGAGTGTGCCGCATGACGGAGTGAGCTCCCGTCTCTAGTTCCAGCTCCTGCCAACCTAGCAGTTCGAAAGCAAGAAATTGCAAGTAGATAAATAGGGACCACTTCGGTGGGAAGGTAACAGCGTTCCGTGCGCCTCGGTGTTTAGTCATGCCGACCACATGACCACGGAAAGGTCTTCGGACAGCGCTGGCTCTCCGGCTTTGAAACGGAGATGAGCACCGCAACCCTAGAGTCGGATTCGACTGGCTTTCGAGCAAGGGAACCTTCACCTTTACCTTTTTTGCCCACCCCAAAAGGAGCCTGAAGTGGTTTACAACCTTCTCCCCTCCTCTGTTTTATCCTCACAACAACCCTGTGAGGTAGGTTAGGCCAAGAGTGCGTGACTGGCCAGGGCCACCCAGTAAAGCTCCCATGGTAGAGTGAGAATTCAAACCCAGGACTCCCAGATCCTAGTGTGATGCTTTTAACCACTGTACCATGCTGACATATGCATACAAAGAACGACACAAACTCAGTTACCCAGGGCCTCAATTAATTACTCTCAGCATTCTACGATTAAGGATACATCAATCTCCGATTCGGATGTATTTATTTCCTTCACAGTTTTTGCCCCAGAATTGGACCCAAACAAATGGTTACCATATAAACTAAGGTTATTATTCCTGTTCGATCCTTTTATCTGTTAAACGTCTTCATTATGCTGTATGATCATTTACTGCTCACCCTCATGACAGCCAGTTTGGTTTCTTGGTTAGGAGCGCGGGCTTTAATCTGGGAGAGCCAGGTTTGATTCCCCACTCCTGTACATGCAGCTGCTGGTGTGACCTTGGGTCAGTCCCAAGTTCTCTCAGAGCTGTTCTCTCACAAGCAGTTCTAAAAAGAGCTCTCTCAGCCCCACCCGCCTCCCCACAGGGTGCCTGTGGTGGGGAGGGGAAGGGAAAGGAGTTTGTAAGCTGCTCTGAGACTCCTTTGGGTAGTGAAGGGCGGGGTATAAATCCAATCTCTTCTTCTTCTTCTTCTATATGTATGGACTAGTAATTTCTAATTTTGTTTCTGTCTCTGTCTTGACTCTAATTGGCCCTTCCTGACAACTAACCCCCCCTTTCTATATGTAATGGTTGAGGAAATTCTGTTTCACTGTATCTGAGGAAGTGTGTTTGCACAGAAAAACTTATACCTTGAATAAAACTTTGTTGGTCTTAAAGGTGCCACTGGTCTCAAACTTTGCTCAGTTACCTAGTGGAAGAGACCACGGTTGCATACAAGAAGTTTAATCTACAAGCTCTGGGCTTTTCAGCCACGTGCTCCAAAGTGGCCAAAGTTTTACAGCAGCCCTGCCAGGCTGACTGCCAATCATCATCGTCATCCCACCAAGACCTTAACCCACCCTTTTTGCAGGGAGCTTAAGAGTGCTGAACAGCAGGGCTATTTTTGGGCAGGAACGCACAGGAACGGAGTTCCAGCTGGCTCCCGAGTTGGCCACGCCCAGCAGGAACTCATTAGCATAATAGGCCACACCCAACAGCAGAAACTCATTAGGATTGGCTACAGTAGGCATGTGTGGCCTAACATGCAAAGGAGTCCCTGCTACAAAAAAAGGCCCTGGGTTTTGACAACAAACAAGGTAAACAGAATAACAAGCAAAAGGTGGGTGTGGCTGGATGACCACACTTCTGGCAACACGGGGCTGCGGCCTAATATGCTAATGAGCTTTGGTGTCAGGGTGTGGCCTATTATGCTAATGAGTTCCTGCTGGGCTTTTTCTACAAAAAAAGCCCTGGTATTTTTCAGTTTCAGCCTCACAACCACCCTGCAAGGCAGGTTAGGTGGAAATACAAGCTCACGGCCATCCAGGGAGCCTCGTGCTGAGACTTGAACCTGGAATCTCGCACTCCTCGGCTGAAACACTCAGTGGTGCCGCACGCGGGCTATCAAAGGAATGCTCTCTCTCTCCATCCCTTGCCTGCTCCAAGCAGGGCTCTTCTTTAGCATCCAGACGGATCATGGACTTCTGGTGGCATCTGCAGCGGAATTTGGCACATAGCGACGTGTGCGCTCGTGCACAGGGATGTGTGTGTTCACGTGATCTAAAAAACCCTCACCTGGCGATAGAGGCTCAGCGCCACAGGCTGGTTTTGCAGGGTCATGAAGAAAGAGCCGCGGTTCAGTACGTTCTTCAGATGCAACACAACGGTGTAAACTGGGGTGGGTGGGAAGGAAAACGGTTAGGGTGTTGAACGGGTAGCCCGCAGGCTCCTGCGGCGCACGAACATAACGGAAACAAATATGAGAACGCCGACACCAGCAGGGGATTCTATGGGAGCGCTCGGCGACGCTTCAAAACTATGGAGATCGGGGTCCCCAGCCTTCTGACGCCAATGGGCACCTTTGGAAATCTGGTACCCGGGGGCGGGGGGCACTGCCACAAAATGGCTGCCGCAGGAGGCGGGGCCAACGACAAAACGCCGAAGAGTGAGGTTATGCACAACTCTGATGGTAGCTCTTCAGCATTTCAGGCCAAAGCTCCGTTTCACAGGAAGAACACTGATTAAAAGATTTTCCTGCATACCCACAGGTGGTGGGGGGGAACCCATTTGGCGGTATCTGTTGTACCTCTAGTGGCCAATCAGAAGCTCCGTGTGCCCCACCCGCTTCCTAAGAACACTTGGCGGGCATCAGGGAATCCCTGTCCTACATCAGGGCTTTCCCTGGACCAGTGGACCTTCTGCATGCCAAGAAGCTGCTCTTCCACCGAGCCATGGCCCCCCTCTCTACAGCTCTCCAGGGTCTCAGGTCTTCCCCATCACCTCCTGCCTGGTCCTTTTAACTGGAGATGCCGGGGACTGAACCTGGGTCCTTCTGCGTGCCAAGCAGAGGCTCTTCCACTGAGCCACAGCCCCCTCTTTACAGCTCTCCAGCGTCTCAGGCGGAGGTCTTTCCCATCACCTCCTGCCTGGTCCTTTTAACTGGAGATGCTGGGGATTGAACCTGGGACCTCCTGCACGCCAAGCTGATGCTCTGCCACTGAGCCACAGCCCCTCTTTACAGCTCTCCAGGGTCTCAGGCGGAGGTCTTTCCCATCACCTCTTGCCTGGTCCTTTTTAACTGGAGATGCCAGGGACTGAACCTGGGACCTTCTGCATGCCATGCAGAGGCTCTGTCGCCAAACCACGGCCCCTCTCCCCTTGGCGGCAGCCTGGGAGATCCAAGAACCCCGAAGGGAGGGCCGGCACTCCATTCTCCCACCCTGCCGGCCTCTCCGCCTCCCCGACCGCCAAGGCGGGGCACGCGCTCCTTTACCCAAGTCGGTGTCTCCGCTCTCGATGGCTTTGCTCAGCGCCAGGGTGCTCCGCGTCATCTTCAGCAGCAGCGGGACCTGCTTCCCGGACCGCGGCTCGTACTCCAGCAGCTGTGACAAAACACAGGGGGACTCTTTTGAGCGGGGGAGAGGAGCGGTCACGGAAGGGACGGTTGGTACGAAAGATGGGAATGTGCAGCCCCCAAGTGTTGTGCCGATTAAGCAGACTTGCAGATGGTTGCCTCTTTGGCAGGGATGGCTTGTCCACAGGGCAGATATAGGTGACCACCTAGGGCACCAGCAGTGGCCTGATCCAGCACTGGCTTCTCTGATGTTTTATGTCTGGGGCAAGGGATGCTCTGTATTCTGTATTCTTGGTTCTTGGGGGCGGGGGCAGCAGTGGGAGGGCTTCTGGTGCCCTGGCCCCACTGCTGGACCTCCTGATGGCCCCTGGTATTTTTGGCCACTGTGTGACACAGAGGGGTGGACTGGATGGGCCGTTGGCCTGATCCAGCATTGGCTTCTCTGATGTTCTTATGTCTGGGGCAAGGGATGCTCTGTCTTCTTGGTGCTTTTTTTTTGGGGGGGGGGGTGAACAGTGGAAGAGCTCCTAGTGTCCTGGCCCCACTGGGGGACCTTCTGATGGCCCCTGGCGTTTTTGGCCACTATGTGACAGACAGAGTGTTGGACTGGATGGGCCACTGGCCTGATCCAACATTGGCTTCTCTGATGTTCTTATGTCTGGGGCAAGGGATGCTCTGTATTCTTGGTTCTTGGGGGGGGGGGTAACAGTGGGAGGGCTTCTAGTGTCCTCCTGATGGCCCCATCAGGACCTCCTGATGGCCCCTGGTATTTCTGGCCACTGTGTGACACAGAGTGTTGGACTGGATGGGCCATTGGCCTGATCCAACATTGGCGTCTCTTATGTTCTTATATGGAGCAGAGGTCCATCAGTGGCTCTTAGCCACAAGGTATAGATAGGAACTCTCGGTCTGGGACAAGTGATGCTCTGTATTCTTGGTGCTGGGGGGGGGGCAACAGTGGGAGGGCTTCTGGTGTCCTGGCCCCACTGCTGGACCTCCTGATGGCACCTGGTATTTCTGGCCCCTGTGTGACACAGAGTGTTGGACTGGATGGGCCATTGGCCTGATCCAACATTGGCGTCTCTTATGTTCTTATATGGAGCAGAGGTCCATCAGTGGCTCTTAGCCACAAGGTATAGATAGGAACTCTCGGTCTGGGACAAGTGATGCTCTGTATTCTTGGTGCTGGGGGGGGGGCAACAGTGGGAGGGCTTCTGGTGTCCTGGCCCCACTGCTGGACCTCCTGATGGCACCTGGTATTTCTGGCCCCTGTGTGACACAGAGTGTTGGACTGGATGGGCCATTGGCCTGATCCAACATTGGCGTCTCTTATGTTCTTATATGGAGCAGAGGTCCATCAGTGGCTCTTAGCCACAAGGTATAGATAGGAACTCTCGGTCTGGGACAAGTGATGCTCTGTATTCTTGGTGCTGGGGGGGGGGCAACAGTGGGAGGGCTTCTGGTGTCCTGGCCCCACTGCTGGACCTCCTGATGGCACCTGGTATTTCTGGCCCCTGTGTGACACAGAGTGTTGGACTGGATGGGCCATTGGCCTGATCCAACATTGGCGTCTCTTATGTTCTTATATGGAGCAGAGGTCCATCAGTGGCTCTTAGCCACAAGGTATAGATAGGAACTCTCGGTCTGGGACAAGTGATGCTCTGTATTCTTGGTGCTGGGGGGGGGGCAACAGTGGGAGGGCTTCTGGTGTCCTGGCCCCACTGCTGGACCTCCTGATGGCACCTGGTATTTCTGGCCCCTGTGTGACACAGAGTGTTGGACTGGATGGGCCATTGGCCTGATCCAACATTGGCGTCTCTTATGTTCTTATATGGAGCAGAGGTCCATCAGTGGCTCTTAGCCACAAGGTATAGATAGGAACTCTCGGTCTGGGACAAGTGATGCTCTGTATTCTTGGTGCTGGGGGGGGGGCAACAGTGGGAGGGCTTCTGGTGTCCTGGCCCCACTGCTGGACCTCCTGATGGCACCTGGTATTTCTGGCCCCTGTGTGACACAGAGTGTTGGACTGGATGGGCCATTGGCCTGATCCAACATTGGCGTCTCTTATGTTCTTATATGGAGCAGAGGTCCATCAGTGGCTCTTAGCCACAAGGTATAGATAGGAACTCTCGGTCTGGGACAAGTGATGCTCTGTATTCTTGGTGCTGGGGGGGGGGCAACAGTGGGAGGGCTTCTGGTGTCCTGGCCCCACTGCTGGACCTCCTGATGGCACCTGGTATTTCTGGCCCCTGTGTGACACAGAGTGTTGGACTGGATGGGCCATTGGCCTGATCCAACATTGGCGTCTCTTATGTTCTTATATGGAGCAGAGGTCCATCAGTGGCTCTTAGCCACAAGGTATAGATAGGAACTCTCGGTCTGGGACAAGTGATGCTCTGTATTCTTGGTGCTGGGGGGGGGGCAACAGTGGGAGGGCTTCTGGTGTCCTGGCCCCACTGCTGGACCTCCTGATGGCACCTGGTATTTCTGGCCCCTGTGTGACACAGAGTGTTGGACTGGATGGGCCATTGGCCTGATCCAACATTGGCGTCTCTTATGTTCTTATATGGAGCAGAGGTCCATCAGTGGCTCTTAGCCACAAGGTATAGATAGGAACTCTCGGTCTGGGACAAGTGATGCTCTGTATTCTTGGTGCTGGGGGGGGGGCAACAGTGGGAGGGCTTCTGGTGTCCTGGCCCCACTGCTGGACCTCCTGATGGCACCTGGTATTTCTGGCCCCTGTGTGACACAGAGTGTTGGACTGGATGGGCCATTGGCCTGATCCAACATTGGCGTCTCTTATGTTCTTATATGGAGCAGAGGTCCATCAGTGGCTCTTAGCCACAAGGTATAGATAGGAACTCTCGGTCTGGGACAAGTGATGCTCTGTATTCTTGGTGCTGGGGGGGGGGCAACAGTGGGAGGGCTTCTGGTGTCCTGGCCCCACTGCTGGACCTCCTGATGGCACCTGGTATTTCTGGCCCCTGTGTGACACAGAGTGTTGGACTGGATGGGCCATTGGCCTGATCCAACATTGGCGTCTCTTATGTTCTTATATGGAGCAGAGGTCCATCAGTGGCTCTTAGCCACAAGGTATAGATAGGAACTCTCGGTCTGGGACAAGTGATGCTCTGTATTCTTGGTGCTGGGGGGGGGGCAACAGTGGGAGGGCTTCTGGTGTCCTGGCCCCACTGCTGGACCTCCTGATGGCACCTGGTATTTCTGGCCCCTGTGTGACACAGAGTGTTGGACTGGATGGGCCATTGGCCTGATCCAACATTGGCGTCTCTTATGTTCTTATATGGAGCAGAGGTCCATCAGTGGCTCTTAGCCACAAGGTATAGATAGGAACTCTCGGTCTGGGACAAGTGATGCTCTGTATTCTTGGTGCTGGGGGGGGGGCAACAGTGGGAGGGCTTCTGGTGTCCTGGCCCCACTGCTGGACCTCCTGATGGCACCTGGTATTTCTGGCCCCTGTGTGACACAGAGTGTTGGACTGGATGGGCCATTGGCCTGATCCAACATTGGCGTCTCTTATGTTCTTATATGGAGCAGAGGTCCATCAGTGGCTCTTAGCCACAAGGTATAGATAGGAACTCTCGGTCTGGGACAAGTGATGCTCTGTATTCTTGGTGCTGGGGGGGGGGCAACAGTGGGAGGGCTTCTGGTGTCCTGGCCCCACTGCTGGACCTCCTGATGGCACCTGGTATTTCTGGCCCCTGTGTGACACAGAGTGTTGGACTGGATGGGCCATTGGCCTGATCCAACATTGGCGTCTCTTATGTTCTTATATGGAGCAGAGGTCCATCAGTGGCTCTTAGCCACAAGGTATAGATAGGAACTCTCGGTCTGGGACAAGTGATGCTCTGTATTCTTGGTGCTGGGGGGGGGGCAACAGTGGGAGGGCTTCTGGTGTCCTGGCCCCACTGCTGGACCTCCTGATGGCACCTGGTATTTCTGGCCCCTGTGTGACACAGAGTGTTGGACTGGATGGGCCTTTGGCCTGATCCAACATTGGCATCAAAGAGGAAAGAGGAAAGAAGATGGTAACACCGCAGTTCCAGATGGTCCTCCCATAGTATACGTGTCCAATGGCAACGGCTTGTCAGATCTTCAATAGATTCCAGGTTCTTCCTCGGGCCTCGTCGATGCATACCTTGACGGTGGTGGTATAATGGGGGGGGGGGGGGGTGGCTCCTACTCAAAGGCCTGGCGGAAGAGCTCCGTCTTACAGGCCCTGCGGACCTGTACCCCTCCCTTCTCTACCCAAAGGAGTCTCAGAGCGGCTTATGATTTCGGATGACGCCACATTAACCGGCGGCAAAGGGCGAAGACTCGAAATGACTCCTGATGAACGCTGACGCAGAAAACGCCGAAGCGGGATCACGGCTGAACACCGAGAAGACAAAAGCGGTGGCTGCGGAGGAATCACAGCACTCCGATGATTAAGACATTGGATTTGTTCAAGGTTTTTTTTAATTACTTGGCTCCGTCATCAAACCAAAAGGGAGATGGCGACCGAGAAATCAGGAGGAGACGGAGACCGGGAAGGGCAGCCATGAAGGAGCTAGAAAAGGAGGAGGGGTTTTGTTTGCTTTTTAAGCGAGAGTCTGCTAGATTCTCCTTTGGAAATTAATCAACATGCTTTCCAGTTGATTGATCTACTGAACTGATCTGAATAAAACTTGCAGCCCCTCTAACTTTGCGTGCAAACACAACTCGAGGCGGCTGTCGTATATCTGTGCAGAAGCAATTGCTCTCTTTCGCAGACACGACAAGCTCCTACCCCCGAAAGAAGAAAACCTGCGCTTTTAATAAGCTGCGTAGCAGGACGAAGTCTGCCAGGTGCAGTTTCTCCCATTGGAGGATGCCTGGAGGCCATTACCGATGTTCCAAGATTCCTACCTGGTTACCGAACCTCATCTCTCATTGCCAGATCCTGTTAGGCCAGACCCAAATGACAGATGGCCCTGCCGAAGCGCCAGCCGGCACAGATGTGATCTCCATTCGTAGATAAACAGCAAGGGTGGTTGTTGTTCCCAGTAACCTAAATTGTCCTGGCCAAAAAAGAAAGAAAGAAGGAAATGGAGGCAGCTGAGGCCGCAGCGGGAATGAAACACGCTAATTTTTTTTTTGAGAGAGAGAGAGAAAGAGAAGCTAATGTTGTTAAAACCGTATCTCCAAATGAAAAGATTGTAAAATTATTTCATGATGCTGCAATGATAGCTATAAATGGCCGGCAAACTAGCCCGATTTATCTTGTCATTAGTAAATCCATCTTTGACGTCCTCACTTATTGGGGAGACGGTTTTACCTTTAAAGTACTCTCTGTGTACCTAGACTTCGTAGATTTCTGCTGCCACCAGGAATTCAAAAAATCCAAATCTCTCTCTCTTGGTAGTATGACCCAGGGTCTGGGCACTTCAGAGGACTATGTGACCCTGAGGAAGTACTGTACTGATTTCTGGGATACGTTTAAACAAAAATTGATTTATTTAATAAAGAACAAAATAGGTTTCTGGTTATTTTGAACAGTTGCTGAAGAAAGGAACTTGTAAATATAACTGGCAAAGCTTGGTACCACAGTGTCTCAAACTCCACTCTGACATGCTTATACACTCAGTATATGCTCTCTCTCTCTCTCATATATGTATGTATGTGTGTGTGTGTGTGTGTGTGTGTGTATATATATATATATATATATATATATATATCTCCAAACAGGCTAATCTTCTTGTTTTATTCACACAGAACAGAATCAGCTCTTATAGTCACTCAGACTAAACTGTTTGCCTTATTCACACAGAACAGAAGCAAAATTCCATAGCCACACAGACCATGCTCTCTTTTCACACAGAACTCAGTCATAAAACATCTCTCCTCTCACACTCTCAGTTATCAGCCAATCATAGCACACTCATCTCCTCCTATCGCTCTCCTTACATTACTACAGTCAAACTCAACATTTAAAGACACACACACACCAAAACATGGAATCATTACACGGAGGCTAGATGGCCATCTGACAGCAACGCTGATTCTGTGAACTCGGGCAGATCATGAGAGGGAGGGCAGGAAGGGTTGCCTCAGTGCTTAGTTCTCGTGGCCCTTTCTTACACGCCCAGGGAAATGTTGATCGCCATGTTGGGTCAGGAAGCTATTTTTCTCCAGGCCGGGTTGCCCCCCAGAGATCCTGGAGGTTTTTTTGCTATCTTCTGGGCGTGGAACAGAGGTCACCGTGGGTGTATAAAGGGAGGTATTTGTGAATTTCCTACAAGGAGCTCGGGGTTGGACTAGATGACCCTGGAGGTCCCTTCCAACTCTACGATTCTATGATTCTTAAGTGTATGGATGTGCCGGAGACGAGATATGAATCGGCGGCGCCCCGATTTGCTGCTCCGTCCTATCACTGCCAGGCTCTGCCAGTTCTCGCACAGAAAAGGCAAGCAAGGCCTCAGCGAGGTGCTCAGCCACGGACCCAGGACATTCCAGATTCACGCCGGTAGCAAAACCTTGATCCTCACCTTGTAACAGGCCCAGTGAGCCAGGATCCGGCTGATGCCCTGGAACTCCGAGAGGCGCAGGTACTCGCAGATCTTGATCGCGATGGGGTAAAGTCTCCGCAGAACCAACCTAGGACATTAAGACAGCAGAAGGAAACGGTCGCCGCCGACACCAGGACTGTTCAGCTGTGGAGGACTGGGAACATCAGTGCAGGCAGGGGTCATTTCCTGCGGGAGCGCACAGGAGCGGAGCTCCGGCAGTAAGGATCCCAGGGGGCGGGCACATGCAACAAGCCCCGCCCCCTGCTCCCAGCAGCCCTCAGTCGGGCCACGAGGAGCAAGAGGCAGCCAGGTAAGTTACAGAGCGCCCCTTCCCAGCCCACCTTCAGATACAAGCTCTCCCTCCTCTGCGAGGGCAGATCTGCACGTTCCCCCCCCTTCCCAATAGCCAGCAATCCAAAACAGTCCAGTGGAGCCTGAGCGGTGGGTGTTGCCTTCTGACACACTTCCGGCGATGCCAGGGGGTGTGGCATATGCAAATAAATTATGCTAATGAGCTCCTGCACCTCTTTTTCTACGAAATGACCCCTGAGTGCAGGCAGCCAACGGCAGAGCCTCCATGTCCAGTGGAAGTATACCTTGGACTGCCAGAGGTCAGAGAGAAGTAACGGGGTGGCTGCCTCTGCTGTGCCCTGCCTATAAGGTCTTGAGGGGGGGGGTCCATCTCCAAACTTGGTTCTCCCCCACCTCCATCCCTGGGGTCCAAACCCACCCAAAATTATGGTAGTCCGGTGGCTCAAACCTGTATTGGCCCTTCTGTTCTGAATGTTCCTGAATCTAAGCCCCCCGCCCCAGGTGTACGGCTTGCTTCAGAGGAGCACTTACCTGTCCAGTAAAACTTCAATGGTGAGCTGTTTGTACCTGTAGAAGCTGCTAAGGAGGAACTCTTCAAACAGCATCTGATCTCTGCAGGCCAAACACTGCTGGTCCCAAGGAGACCACGTGGATGTCAGATGTGGTCAGAAACAAGAACATCAGAAGAGCCCTCTTGGATCAGGCCAGAGGTCCATCTATTCCAGGATCCCGTCTCACACAGGGACCAATCAGTTCCTAAGGATGGCCAACAACAGGGCATAGAGGCCGAGGCCTCCCCCTGATAAGCACATCAGAATAGCCCTGCTGGATCAGACCAGTGAGGGTCCATCTAGTCCAGCCTCCCGTCTCACACAGGGGCCAACTGGTTCCTCTGGAAGGACAATCACAGGGCAGAGAGGCCGAGGCCTTTCCCCTGATAAGAACCTCAAAAGTGCCCTGCTGGATCAGACCAGCCCAGCCAGTTCCTTTGGATGGCTAACAATAGGGCAGAGAGGCCGAGGCCTTCCCCTGATAAGAACCTCAGAAGAGCCCTGCTGGATCAGACCAGGGAGGGTCCATCTAGTCCAGCCTCCTGTCTCACACAATGGCCAGCCAGTTCCTCTGGACAGCCAACAACAGGGCAGGGAGGCCGAGGCCTTCCCCTGATAAGAACCTCAGAAGAGCCCTGCTGGATCAGACCAGGGAGGGTCCATCTAGTCCAGCCTCCTGTCTCACACAATGGCCAGCCAGTTCCTCTGGACAGCCAACAACAGGGCAGGGAGGCCGAGGCCTTCCCCTGATAAGAACCTCAGAAGAGCCCTGCTGGATCAGACCAGGGAGGGTCCATCTAGTCCAGCCTCCTGTCTCACACAATGGCCAGCCAGTTCCTCTGGACAGCCAACAACAGGGCAGGGAGGCCGAGGCCTTCCCCTGATAAGAACCTCAGAAGAGCCCTGCTGGGTCAGACCAGTGAGGGTCCATCTAGTCCAGCATCCTGCCTCACACAGCAGCCAACCCTCTGAATTAAACCCAAACAAATGGTGACCGTATAAACTAAGCTTGTTATTCCGGTTTGGTCTCTGAATCTGTTAAACATCTTCATTATGCTGTATGTTAATTTGCTGCTTATCCTCTACATATAGGTATGGGCTGGTAATTTCCATTTCAATACATGCCCAGGGAAATGCTGATCGCCACTTTGGGGTCAGGAAGCAACTGTTCTCCAGCCCAGTTTGGCCGGGGATCCTGGAAGGTTTGGAGTTTTCCCCCCTGTTGTGGCCTTAAAGCAGGGATCACTGGAGGTGGTGGTATTTGTGAATTTTCTGCATTATGCAGGGGGTTGGATGAGATGACCCTGGAGGTCCCCTTCCAACTCCGTGACCCGCTCGCCAGGTCATCAGTCGCCCTCTTTCTAAACAAAGGATACTGAGCGTAACTGAGGGGGATCCCGATCTGGTAATCCCGGATGGCGCTGAGCACCCGCAGGTCCCGACACGACTCCACAAAGCTCTCGGGCGGGAACTTGTCGACGAAGCATTTCCCAAAGGAGGCTGCCTGGAGGCACGAAGGAAAAGGAGGCGGGAGGGTTTAAGAGCCAGTTTGGTGTAGTGGTTAAGTGTGCGGACTCTAATCTGGGAGAACCGGGTTTGATTCCCCACTCCTCCACTTGTACCTGCTGGGTGACCCTGGGCAAGCCATAGTTCTCTCAGAGGTGTTCTTGAAAAAGAGCAGTTTCTGTCAAGAGCTCTCTCAGCCCCACCCACCTCCCAGGGTGTCTGTTGTGGGGAGGGGAAGGGAAAGGAGTTTGTGAGCCGCTCTGAGACTCCCAAGTGAAGGGCGGGGTATAAATCCAATCTCTTCTTCTTCTTCTAAGAGGATCTCCCAGAAATAAATGGAGATCAGTTCCCCTTTGGTGTGGGACGCCTGTGGCATGATCTCCCACGGACATCCCCTCCCCTCCCCAAACCCCACCCTCCCCGGGCTCCACCCACAAAATCTCCAGGGATTTCTCAACTCAGAGTTGGCAACCTGAGCCCCTTCCCTAGGCTACCTCTGGCCAGCCTGTTAACTCTTTGTTGAAGAAAGGGTGTGGGTGGGATTGGGGGGAGGTTCTGTTTCACCTTCTTCTTTTCCCTCCCTGATTCAGCAACAAGCCCCTGGTAAATCAATCAATCAATCAATCAATCAATCAGTCAGTCAGTCAATCTATACCTTGTGGCTAATAGCCATTCATGGACCTCTGCTCGTTCTCCTTCCCTTCAAGATAATCTTGAGTAATCTGCTATGACCAAGAGACCCTCCTCAAGGATTGGACTCGTATGGGAGTGGGCCTCTTAGAATCATCATTCTCTTACGATGCTTCCCAACTTGAATAACGCTGCCCTTGGCCAATCCCTCTAGACCCTGGTTGCAGAACCAGTGCAGTGTCGTGGCCAAAAGACCTGAGTTCAAATCCTCACTTGTGCCATGGCAGCTTGCTGGGTGGCCTCGGGCAACTCTACCTACCTACCTACCTACCTACCTATCTTTGCAGTCTCTATCCCACCCTACCCTGCAATAGGGCACAGGGTGGCACACATCATAGAATCACAGAATGTTAGAGTGGGAAGGGACCTTGCAGGTCACCTAGTCCAACCTCCTGCACTCTGCAGGAGCACAGCCGAAAGAGAGCCCTACGACATACCCGAAAGATGGTCTTCCAGCCTCTGCCTGAAAACGTCCAGTGAAGGAGCATCCACCCCTTCCCGAGGCAGTCTGTTCCACTGCTCAACCACTCTCACAGTTAGGAAGTCTCTCCTGATATTTCCCTCCCTTGTTATTTCCACCCATTCGATCTAGTCTTGCAAACCGGAGCAAGAGAGAAGAGATCCGCTCCATCTTCTACATGACAGCCCTTCACATACTTGAAGACTGCAATCATGTCCCCTCTAAGCCTTCTCTTTCCCAGGCTAAACAGACCCAACTCTTTCAGCCTTTCCTCCTAAGACTTGGATTCCAGCCCTCTCACGATCCTCGTTGCCCTCTTCTGGACACGCTCAAGCTTGTCAACATCCTTCCTAAATTGTGGTGCCCAAAACTGGACACAGGACTCCAGGTGGGGCCTGACCAGAGCAGAATCAAACAACAAGTGCGCATATTAAACAAGAAGAGGAGGAGGAGGAGACTGGATTTATACCCCGCCCTTCACTACCCAAAGGAGTCTCAGAGCGGCTTACAAACTCCTTTTCCCTTCCCCTCCCCACAACAGACACGCTGTGAGGTAGGTGGGGCTGGGAGAGCTCTCTCTAGGACTGCTCCTGAGAGACCAGCTCCGAGAGAACTCGTGACTGACCCAAGGTCACACCAGCAGCTGCATTCGGAGGAGTGGGGAATCAAACCCGGCTCTCCCAGATTAGAGTCCGCCCTCCTAACCCCGGCACCAGACTGGCTCTCCTGTGGGCCCATAAGTGAATACCACCCCGAGTGTTCCGGTCGCCACAGCCAGAGATCAGGGTTTCAATAAAATGTGATTAACTACACTTATATTCTAGAAAGCACGGCTGTTTTGGAACAGTCCGTAAGACGGCAGGTTGAAAGCAGAATCCTAGTCAAAGGAGCAGAAAAAGGTCATTGCTGGCAAATTCTTACAGAGTCCTCGCCTACCCCTCTCCTGTTGGGTTGCCAACTCTGGGCTGGGAAATGCCTGGAGACTTTGGGGGTGGAGCCTGGGGAGGGCGGGGTTTAGGGAGGGGAGGGGCCTCGGCAGGGTCTATCACCATGAAGTCCACCTTCCAAAGCATCCGTTTTCTCCCGGGGAACAGATCTCTGTAGTCTGGAGACCAACTGCAATTCCTGGAGATCTCCAGGCCCCACCTGGAGGTTGGCAATCCTATTCTTGTTGGGTTCAGGAGCGTCCCCTGTCAGAATGCTGGCTGAGGGTTGTCCAGCAGAAACTGCCCCATTTCTGGACTTTCCTTCGAGTTTGGAAATTTCTTTCCTGGGCCAAACAGAACTTTACGGGTTCAAAAATCCCTTCCAAGAAGACTTTGGACCAATCACGTCAAAAGTGTAGATCAGAGGAATTTTGCACTAAATGAGTCCTGTGAACAAGCTAAAATATGGAACCCAGAAGGCTGGGGATTATAGAAAAAGGAGGAGGAGGAGGAAGAGTGTTGGGTGTTACAAGTTAAAACACTTCAGTATTTACCGGGTTAATGATGTTTGTTAAGTCACATGTTTGTTTGTAACCATGTTTAGACAATAGGATGCCCGGGAACTTTGGAGCTAGTTTGCTACTCTGATTGGAAACCAAGGTGTCAAGTATTAGCATTTTATGGCTTCTCTTCCTGTCTGTGTGTTCTTTGTTCTGACCTGAGAAGGAGATGCCGTTCTTCGGCTCTTCCGTTTTAGCTGCAAGGATGTAGGCATATAAGCTCTTTGTTATTTTATATCCTGTGTACCTTTTCCCATGTTAGGTTTATAGTAAACTTTTATATTTTAAAACACACCATGGACTCAGTCTCTTTAATACTCTGCTGAATGTACTTAAGAATCTCAACAAAGAGGAAGAAAGAGGAGGAGGAGGAGGAGGAAGAGGAGGAGGAGGAGATTGGATTTATATCCTGCCCTTCACTCAAGAGTCTCAGAGCAGCTTATAATCCCTTCCTCTCCCCACAACAGACCCCCCTCCCTGTGAGGTAAGTAAGGCTGAAAGAGCTCTTTCGAGGACTGCTGTTGAGAGAACAGCTCTGAGAGAACTTGTGACTTACCCAAAGTCACACCAGCAGCTGCATGGGAGAGGAGTGGGGAACCAAACCCGGCTCTCCCAGATTAGAGTCCGCGCTTCTAACCACCACACCAAACTGGCTCTTAACCAGAAGACAGTGGCAATTGGCAGCCAGGCCCAAACAGATGCATGGCCCAGGCTGGTCCGATCTCGTCAGATCTCAGAAGCTAAGCAGGGTCGGCCCAGGGTAGTATTTGGATGGGAGACCACCAAGGAAGTCCGGGGTCGCTACGCAGAGGCAGGCCAATGGCGAACCGCCTCTGAATGTCTCTTGCCTTGAGAACCCGACAGGGTCACCCTACATCAGCTGTGGCTTGAGGGCAACTTCCACCCCACCCCCCGCCACCCCTAGTGGTTGAAATAGGGTCTTTTGATTCTACCACTTCCTGGCTCAGAATGAAAGTTTCAACCCTCTTTCCAGGAACACCGCTTGCGATCGTATTTCCGACTTCAAACAGACAAGCCTGTGTCGTTCTAAATATCCATCCATGCCAAATATTGGAAGATTCAAGAAACACCAACCAAACAGGAATATATTAATAAACTCTTATAAGCAGCGGAAATAGACAAATTAACTATGGAAATGAGAGGCACGAAGAAATGGAGATTTCAAAAAACCTGGAAGAGACTATATGATTGGTATAATGTGAATGGAGTTAAAGATTAAGCTGATATGGCAAAAATAATATTTGAGTATGTAGTAATATATAATAGTGAAATTAGAGAATATTAACAAATATTAGAGAATGATGAAGCGATGGATTAGATATAGTAACAAATTGTAATTAGTCTCTTGGTTATATGTTGTTTGTTGTAGTTGTGTATGTCTGTGTTTAGGAATATAAGAAAACAATAAATGTGTACCCTCGGGTACTTAAAAAAATAAAAATAAAATAAATATCCACCCATCCTGAACAGAGACACCAACCAAAACGGATACAGTACGTGGGGAAGTGCAGGATCAATATCCTTCGGAGGGCGAACTCCACTGCAACATCATTGCCCCCTCTTCTGAAATTCCCACCCTTATTTTCAGGGTGGTGCATGGACTGTCCCTTTGATCCTCACAACATCCCTGCAAGGTAGGGCCAGCAGAGAAAAAAGAGAAGAGGTTGGATTTATACCCTGCCCTTCAGTACCTGAAGGAGTCTCGGAGCGGCTCACAATCTCCTTTCCCTTCCCCTCCTCAAAACGGACACCCTCTGAGGTGGGTGGGGCTGAGAGAGCTCTCTCGAGAACTGCCTGTGAGAGAACTGCTCTTGAGAGAACTTGGGACTGACCCAAGGTCACACCAGCAGCTGCATGGGGGGGAGGAGTGGGGAATCAAATCCGGTTCTCCCAGATTGGAGTCTGCGCTCCTAACCACTACATCAAGCTGGCTCTCAGACAGAGGGAAGACAGAGGGAAAGTCACACAGTGAGCTTAAAGCAGAGGGAAGATTTGAACTTGGGGCTTCCTGGCCCACCACTTTATCCATGTCCCTTCACGGGCTTTCATCCATGCTGTCAGAGCCTTTCAGTGAGAGCCTGTGCTCCCATGACTCACCCGAAGGAGAGCTTTTTGGGTCTCCGGGTCGTGTTCATAGCTGGCAGCTTCGATGCATTTCCTGACGGCCTCCGGCAACAGATCCTGCTCCCTGATCTCCCGCAGGTACTCGTCGGCCTTCTGGCTCTCTTTCTGAGGGGCAAAGGAAAGAAGAAGAAGAAGAAGAAGAAGAGATTGGATTTATACCCCGCCCTTCACGACCCAAAGGTGTCTCAAGAGTGGCTTACAAACTCCTTCCCCTTCCCCTCCCCACAACAGACACCCTGTGAGGTGGGTGGGGCTGAGAGAGCTCTGACAGAAACTGCTCTTTTTCAAGAACGGCTCTTGTCAGTACTATGGCTTGCCCAAGGTCATCCAGCCATGTGCAAGTGGAGGAGTGGGGAACGAAACCCGGTTCTCCCAGATTATAGAAGGAGAAGAAGAGATTGGATTTATACCCCACCCTTCACTGCCCAAAGGAGTCTCAGAGCGGCTTACAGACTCCTTTCCCTCCCCTCCCCACAACAGACACCCTGGGAGGTAAAAGAAGAAGAGGAGACTGGATTTATACCCCGCCCTTCACTACCCAAAGGAGTCTCAAAGCGGCTTACAAACTCCTTTCCCTCCCCCTCCCCACAACAGACACCCTGTGAGGTAGGTGGGGCTGAGAGAGCTCTGACAGAAACTGCTCTTTTTCAAGGACAGCTCTTATCAGAACTACGGCTTGCCCAAGGTCATCCAGCAGGTGCAAGTGGAGGAGTGGGGGATCTAACCCAGTTCTCCCAGATTAGAGTCCTCGCACTTAACCACTACACCAAACTGGTGTAGAGTCAAGCCCTCCACAGCCTGGGCCCTACACACTTTAGGGCAATTTCCTCCCACACACGCAGCCCTTCGGATGGGCAGCTGAGCTCCGGCCCTCTCCTTTATGGAACTGCAGTGCGGGGCCTTAACAGCAGTGGCTCCTCCCGCCGAAAGCAGGCTTCCTCCAGAAGCACACCAGAGTTCCATCCCGGACAGCCAGCCAGGATTTCAAGCGGATGTTTCACTGTGGTTGGCTTTAATCCCTCTCGAATGTGTCTTTATTTTTCAAGATGGGTCGCTGTGTTAGTCTGTCTGTAGCCGCAGAAAAGAGCCAGAGTCCAGGAGCCCCTCAAAGACAAACAGAATTTGTGGCAGGGGAGGAGCTTTTGTGAGTTACTGCTCACATCTTCACTATCTGAAGGAGTGAGCCGTGACTCACGAAAGCTCCTGGATTCTTGCTCTTTTTTATTTTTCGTTCAAGATCGTTTCAGAGAGTAGCAGTGTTGGTCTACAGTAGAATAGCTCGAATCGAGTCCAGCAGCATCTTAGAGACCGGAAACGTTTGGGGGCATATGAGGTTTCAAGAGTCATATAAGGGACTGCTGATTCTCAAAAGCCTAAACCCCAAAAATCGTGCTGGTCTCTAAGCTGTATGGGACTCGCTTCTAGCTGTTTTAGTTCTCCTAAGATCTAATGGGTGGAAATTACAAGGGAGTCGTTACCGGCTAAATATCAGGAGAAACTTCCTGACTGTAAGAGTGGTTGAGCAGTGGAACAGACTGCCTTGGGAGGTGGTGGATGCTCCTTTGCTGGATGTTTTAAAGCGGAGGCTGGACGGCCATCTTCCGGGTGTGTTGTAGGGCTCTCTTTCGGCTGTGCTCCTGCAGAGTGCAGGGGGTTGGACTAGATGACCTGCAAGGTCCCTTCCAACTCTAACATTCTATGATTCCTTTCCTCCAAAAAGCTCAGAGGGGTGCCCATGATTTCTGTCTTGATCAGTGTACCATCACATGAAGCTTGCCTTATACTGGATGAGGAAGAATCACTAGAAGGATTACAGTGTATAATAGGGGTAAAGGTTTCCCTTGCTCGAAAGCCAGTCGAATCCGACTCTAGAGGGCGGTGCTCATCTCCGTTTCCAAGCCGAAGAGCCAGTGCTGTCCGAAGACGTTTCCGTGGTCATGTGGGCGGCATGACTAGACGCCGTGGTGCACGGAATGTTGTTACCTTCCCACCGAAGCGGTACCTATTTATCTACTTGCCATTTCTTGCTTTCGAACTGCTAGGTTGGCAGGAGCTGGGGCCAGAGACGGGAGCTCACTCCGTCACGCGGCACTACTGCTGAGCCACCGACCTTCCACTCTGCAGTTCAGCGTCTTAACAACTTGAGCCACTGCAGCAATAACACCATTTGTGCTAAGGGCTCTCTCAAATCAATCTAATCCGTGCAAACCATCTTAGAAATCTGTTTGTTATATAATATCGTTTCCTATCAGTTTTCATTTAACATGCAGTTATCCATTTCCACAAGTCTTAACATTCAGTTATCCATTTCCACAGCATCACAGTGTAATATACTCTGTACAAGGTGAAAATGTAGCAGAAGACAGACTAATCAAACCACACGAGGAGCCCGGGTATACGGCCTCTCCTTTCGAATATCTTCTTTGGCGATGCGAACAGCAATGAGTTACAATCCATAATATATTCTGTAAAACTTACTTTTGAGTGCCACAATAGAAAATGGCAACTAGCCACAAATACCTCTTCAATTAGTTTGTAATATTTTAAAAATCTGGGTACCATTACGTAGCTTCAGGTCGAAATTAATCAAAACATTACAGCATATTATATTCCTGCCAACCTAGCCGTTCGAAAGCAAGAAATTGCAAGTAGATAAATAGGTACCACTTCGGTGGGAAGGGAACAGCGTTCCGTGCGCCTTGGTGTTTAGTCAGGCCGGCCACATGACCACTTCGGCTTTGAAACGGAGATGAGCACTGCAACCCTAGAGTCGGAGTCGACTGGATTTCGAGCAAGGTAACCTTTATAGCCTTCTACTGAATCGGACCCTCGGTCCACGAAGGTCAGTCTTGTCTACTCAGACGGGCAGCGGCTCTCCAGGGTTTCGGGCGGAGGGTCGTTCACATCACCTGTTACCTGCTCCTTTTAACTGAAGATGCCGGGGATTGAACCAGGGACTGTCTGCATGGTCAAGCAGATGCTCTGCCACTGAGCCACGGCCCCTTCCTGAACCGGCAGCAGCCCTGGGCACTATCCTCTGCCGATTCTGATTTACCTCATATGCCTTTTGGGCTTCCAGTAGCAAAGCTCCTGGGGCCATAGATGCGATTTTGAAGATCTCCTGGGTGGATTCTGCAAAGGAAGCGAGAAGAGGAAACTTCAGCTGGGGTTCAGGACCCGCAGCAGAGGGCTAAAAAATATTTATCAAAACATTCATACCCCGCCTTTCCTCGTGGTTCTGGAGGTTTACGATAACGTGTTGTTTTTTTTAAATCCAGTTTAAACTAGAATAAAAGGGCAAACCCCACTTTCAGGTTTGTTTTTAAAAAGAAGCTCCCATCCCTTCCTGCTTTATTGAAATGCCAGGAAGACGCACCTGGAATCTCGTGGAGGAATTCGTGGGTGGAAGAGGAGAAAATCCGAACGCCGTCGAGCTCCGGCACCAGGTACGAATCCTCGTCTAGGTGGTATCTGTGGGTGGCGTTAAGGAACTCCCAGGAAAACAGAGAACCGCAACGCTGGAGGGACTCTGGATGAGTCTGTATCGCCAGCAAAGTGGTAACGCTCGTCCTGGACTGCTCCACTCAGAGACAGAATTATAGAATTGGAAGGGCCCATACAAACCATCTAGTCCAGGGGTGTCAAACATGTGGCCCGGGGGCTGGATCAGACCCCCTGAGAGCTTCTATCAGGCCCACAGTGGGACTGGCCGTCTTCTGCTTCTTCTTCCAGTTCTGCTGCTGCTGCGTCTTCGTAGGTTTGCAACTTACAGATACACACCTGAGCAGCACACTCAAGACTGCAACAGCACAGACATTTTGATGCAATAATTGAGAGCAAGAGGTGTCCCTTATCAGACACTGTTAAATAAACAAAACATTGCAAGAGTGCTGATGTTTTAAGCATGTTTTCATTTTAAGTAAAAAAAACAGTTTGTGTTTGTGTCCTTTATAAAGTTTATCTCTCCGCTACCTGGCATTGCATTTCATGGCACATGTAGCCCGGCCCAACAAGATCTCATTTATGTCAGATCCGGCCCTCGTAACAAATGAGTTCGACACCCCTGATCTAGTCCAACCCCCTGCCCAATGCAGGACCAGCCTAAAGCATGCAAGTGGTGTGCGGGGGAAGGCTTTCCATAATCGGCATACACCTCCCTCACTGCCCACACATGGTTCAGCCTACCCTTATATCCTTGAGAAGTTGTTTTTCTATATGCAGAAACTTGTATTTCCTCATACTAGTCAACCAATTGTGCATGCACGACCCCGCAGCTGGACAGTGCGAGGAGATTTTCAGCGTCTTGACACAGACCCTTCGCCTCCCACCACACATTTCTCATGCCTCATTTTCAGCAGGCACCTTTAGAAGTCTAGAAAATACTAAATCCACTAGGAAAACCACCATCAAATATTGCCAAACTATATAAACTCCAGGGCTATTTTTGGGCAGGAACGCACAGGAACGGAGTTCCGGCTGGCTCCCGAGTTGGCCACGCCCAGCAGGAACTCATTAGCATAACAGGCCACGCCCAACAGCACTCACTCATCAGGATTGGCTACATTAGGGGTGTGTGGCCTAACATGCAAAGGAGTTCCTGCTACAAGAAAAGGCCCTGGGTTTTGACAACAAAGTAAACAGAATAAGAAGCAAAAGGTGGGTGTGGCTGGATGATCACACTTCTGCCAACATGGGGGTGTGGCCTAATATGCTAATGAGTTTCAGCTGTTAGGTGTGGCCTATTATGCTAATGAGTTCCTGCTGGGCTTTTTCTACAAAAAAAAGCCCTGATAAACTCTATTTCACAGTTATAAAGTTGGTGAAGTCACATCAAAATAAGTTCATACTAATACTATAAGCCAGGCATAGAATACAATGTTTCCTCCTTCGGAGATAAATATTAGTCCACGTAGTCCAAATGAGTAGGAGGAAGCCGCCTTTTCGAAACCTTTTTTAAAAACAGCCTTCGCAAAAACGTCCCTTCCAGATACCTAAAGGAGACGTTTCCATCAACTTCTTCAGTTTGGCGGCTGTGTAGTTGGAACCCGATTTCAACAATGTCTACTGACAACAAGGTTCACAGTGTGAAGAGCGAATCGCACTTGTTTTGATGTTGTGACACCACCAACTTTATTACTGTGGAATATTTATATATTTTGACAATATTTTCTGGTAGTTTTCCTAGCAGATTTTGTATTTTCTCGATTATTGTGACGCTAGGTTTCCGAGCTTTTTGGATTGATAACCTTTAGAAATCAGACACGGGGTGGTAGGTACAGTGACAAAATGTTGGATGCAGGAGGTGGGGCCAGTCACAAAATACCAGGAGGTCATGTTACACATATCTCTGATGGTAGTTCTTCAGCGTTTCATGCAGATGATCTGTTGATCAGGAAGCTTTTTGAAAAATGAACATATTGATGCAAAATATGTTCCTGCATACACACAAATACGCCTACTGAGCTAGCTAAGAAACACTCAGAGTGTCATTATAAGGCCAGACCAGAGTTGCAACAGAAGAAGAAGAGGAGAGATTGGATTTATACCCCGCCCTTCACTACCCGGGAGTCTCAGAGCAGCTTACAAACGCCTTTCCCTTCCCCTCCCCACAACAGACACCCTGTGAGGTCGGTGGGGCTGAGAGAGCTCTTGACAGAAACTGCTCTTTCAAGGACAGCTCTTATCAGAACGATGGCTTGCCCAAAGGTCATCCAGCAGCTGCAGGTGGAGGAGTGGGGAATCAAACCCGGTTCTCCCAGATTAGAGTCCGCGCACCTAACCACTACACCAAACTGGCTCTCCCCACTGGCCAAGACTTCCCTCACTCGGTCTGGGAATCGACGTTATGCCCAAACACACACCCTCCTCTTCCCGCAGGTCTTTCCTCCAAGGATACTCGATCCCCTTCGGGGCATTCCCGGCCACCAGGAGAAGCCGATCCCAGGCCAAGGCCACCGCCCGCTGCCTGCTTCGAGGCCGGGTGCACCTGTCACATCGAGAGACCGTCAGGAGGTTAAGACCAACCGATGCAGGCTTCCTCCATCACTAAAATCCAGCTCGGGCACCAGCCCACCCCGCCCAACAGTACCTGGCAGAGCACAAGGGGTGACTCCTGGTCTCTGAAAAGCCTCTGTGGTCACTTTCGGCAAGCGGAAAGCACCCAAAAGATGTCGCAGGCAGTGTTCCCTCTAAGCTGAGGCAGTGCGCGCTAGCTGACAGTTTTCTAGCCTCTGGCTCACACATTTTTGTCTTAGCCCAGGAAGGGATGGCTCCAGGGCAAACTGATTTGTGCACCGGCCAAATCGCTCGCTCCCAACTTTAATGCCAGGAGCTCACAAAGTAGAATTTTGTGTGACAGAGTGTTGGACTGGATGGGCCACTGGCCTGATCCAACATGGGCTTCCCACTTATGTTCTTACCGCTCTGACCATCAGGAAGGTCACCCCAGGCTTAGGCAGAAGGATCCCCCCCCCTTGCTTCCTGCAGCAGCGATCAGGCAGGAAAGCCAGGAGGCAGCCGGGCAGAGAAGAAGCGACTGAAAGCCACACTCACCAAAACATCTGCTTTGGCGGAGTTCGCAGATTGCAGGTGAAGTCGTACAGCTTTTCCTGCAAGGAGGCCGAGCCCGGAGAAGGAGAACGAGAGGGAACACAAGAAATCAGACAGGCGGCCAAAGACGGAATGCCACAGCGGACAATAAAATCAACAGAAAACACCCAATACACAAAAATACATGAAACCAACATTTAAAACCACAATGTAATCAAACGCTAGTCCTAAACATACAACCATCTTCAGCTGCCTCCTGAAGATCGAAAGTGAGGGGCAAGGCATTATCTCCCTTGGGAAGGTCATTTTATAAGCATGGGGCTACCACCGAAAAGGCCCCGTCCCGTGTACCCACCAAACATGATTCTTTGATGAACGGGACAGTCCGGGGGAGGCTCTCCCTGTGATCTTAATTCCTGGGCAGGAACGTAGGGGAGGACATGGACCACCTGCCCTGCCTGACTTCCCGGCATTCCTGGTGATGAGCAAAATTCATCTGCACATCGCAGCACAAATATCTGGAGAAACGGTGATTGAAGGGTGACATGATACAGGTTTAGAAAAGTATCCATGGGATAGAGAGGAAGTACTTTTCTCCCTTTCCCTCCGTACAAGAACTGGTGGGCACTCAAGGAAATTAATAAGCAGGAGGCGTAGAACTGATACAAGGAAGTCTTTCTTCACCCGAAGAGGGATTCACCCCTGGAATTCACTGCCACAGGAGGTGGTGGCGGCTACACGCATGGATGGCTTCAAGAGGGAATTAGATAAGCATATGGAGCAGAGGTCCATCGCCAGCTATTAGCCACAAGGTATAGATAGGAACATTTTGTCTGGGGCCGTGATGTTCTGTAGTCTTGGTGCTTAGGGGGCCATGGTGGGAGGGCTCCTGGAGTTCTGGCCCTGCTGGTGGACCTCCTGAGGGCACCTGGGTTTTGGCCAGTGTGTGACACAGAGTGCTGGACTGGAACGGTCATTTGCCTGATCCAACATGGTTTCTCTTATGTTCTTTTGAGGGAACTGGATAACCATTTGGAGCAGAGGTCCATCAGTGGCTCTTAGCCACAAGGTATAGAGGGAACTCTCTGTCTGGGACAGGGATGCTCTGTCTTCTTGCTGCTTGGGGGGCAAGAGTGGGAGGGTTTCTGGAGTTCTGGCCCTGCTGGTGGACCTCCTGGTGGCCCCTGGGTTTTGGCCACTGTGTGACACAGAGTGTTGGGCTGGATGGGCCACTGGCCTGATCCAACATGGCTTCCATTATGTCCTTATGAGGGGACTGGATAAACATATGGAGCAGAGGTCCATCAGTGGCTCTTAGCCACAAGGTATAGAGGGAGCACTCTGTCTGGGGCAAGGGATGTTCTGTCTTCTTGGTGCTTGGGGGGCCACAGTGGGAGGGCTTCTGGAGTTCTGGCCCCACTGGTGGACCTCCTGATGGCCCCTGGATCTTGGCTGCTGTGTGGCAAAGAGTGTTGGACTGGATGGGCCATTGGCCTGACCCAACATGGCTTCTCTTGTGCTCTTATGCCTGGGACAGTGATGCTCTGTCTTCTTGGTGTTTGGGGGGACACAGTGGGAGGGGTTCTAGAGTTGTGGCCCCACTGGTGGACCTCCTGAGGGCACCTGGTATTTTTGGCCACTGTGTGACACAGAGTGTTGGACTGGAAGGGCCACTGGTCTGATCCAACATTGGCATCTCTTATGTTCTTAACGTCTGGCCAGTGATTCCAACAGGCAGGGGTGGTCCATCGCGCGACTCAGCAGAGGGTGGCAGTATGCCAGGAGACGGCAGGCATGGCTTTTGCCCGCCCCGCTGCCCTTCAGCTCCATGGAGGGCTCCAGGGAGCAGCACTCTGCAGCCAAATTCGGATCCAGCAGGGGCGGCACCACAGCGGCCTGTGTTCTCCATCCCACACCCCAACCGCTCTCATCCAGGATTCAGCGCTGAATCGCTGCCTCCGGAGCTCCTCCTGGAACGATCCAGAGGGCGCCTGGGACAGCAAAATGCCCTGCGCCTCCCCTGCCACCCCAGGGGGAAATGGCTTCAAGACTTCACACCTCTAGCACCCGCAGCTCACCTTTAAGTGGGACATTCCCATCCAGACGTAGCCGGTGTCGGTGAAGAGGGCCAGGTAGCGGTAGTTGAAAGAGACTGCCATGCGCAGGTAGGAGCCCGCAAGGGGGTTCATCCCCGGGAGGGTCTGCAAACACGAGCGAGAGCAGCAAATTGAGGGCACTGGGTTCAAATCACCCAACTCCAGCCTCCTCTTGTCTCAATGAAATAAATGAGCCGTAGGCAAAGAAGGAGAAAGAAGAAGAAGAGGAGGAGGAGGAGGAGGAGGAGGAGGAGGAGGTTGGATTTATACCCCGCCCTTCACTCAGAGTCTCAGAGCGGCTTACAAACTCTTTTCCCTTCCCTTCCCCACAACAGACACCCTGTGAGCAGTGTTCCCTCTAAGCTGAGTCATTACTCCCTCTAATCCAAGAAGAAGGAGGAGGAGGAGGAGACTGGATTTATACCCCACCCTTCACTACCCAAAGGAGTCTCAGAGCGGCTTACAAACTCCTTTCCCTTCCCCTCCCCACAACAGACACCCTGGGAGGCAGGTGGGGCTGAGAGAGAAGAGAGGAGATTGGATGTATCCCCCGCCCTTCACTACCCAAAGGAGTCTCAGAGCGGCTGACAAACTCCTTTCCCTTCCCCTCCCCACTACAGACACCCTGGGAGGTAGGCGGGGCTGAGAGAGCTCTTAACAGAAACGGCTCTTTTTCAAGAACAGCTCTTATCAGAACTACGGCTTGCCCAAGGTCATCCAGCCAGGTGCAAGTGGAGGAGTGGGGAATCAAACACGGCTCTCCCAGATTAGAGTCTGTGCACTTAACCACGACACCAAACTGGCTCTGTAGAACAGATACAAGGAAGCCCTTCTTCACCCAAAGAGTAATTAACGCGTGAAATTCACTGCCACAGGAAGTGGCGGTGGCTACAAGCACAGAGGGGACTGGATCAACATACGGAGCAGAGGTCCATCAGTGGCTCTATTAGCCACAAGTTACAGAGGGAACACTCTGTCTGGGGCAGGGATGCTCTGTCTTCTTGGTGCTTGGGGGGCTTCTGGAGTTCTGGCCTCGTTGCTGGACCTCTTAATGACCCCTGGGTTTTGGCCACTGTGTAACACAGTATTGGACTGGATGGGCCACTCGCCTGATCCAACACAGCTTCTCTTACGTTCTGATGGACCTTGTAATTGTGAGCAAGTGGGGAACACTCTGTTCTCTTACGTTCCTATGTCTGGGGCAAGGGATGCTCTGCATTCTCGGAGCTTGGGGGGGGGGGCAAAAGGGGGGGGGTTTCTGGGGCCGGCCCCACTGGTGGACCTCCCGATGGCCCCTGGGTTTTGGCCACTGTGTGACACAAAGTGTTGGACTGGATGGGCCACTGGCCTGATCCATCATGGCTTCTCTTATGTTCTTATAGACGGAACACTGTCTGGGGCAAGTGATGCTCTGTATTCTTGTTGCTTGGGGGGGGCAACAGTGGGAGGGCTTCTATAGTTCTGGCCCCACTGCTGGACCTCCTGATGGCACCTGGTATTTCTGGCCACTGTGTGACACAGAGTGTTGGACTGGACGGGCCATTGGCCTGATGGAACACTGGCTTCTCTTACGTTCTCATGTCAATTCCATCCCATTTGACCAAACCGGTAGGTCCAGCATACCCTGAAGTCCATGGCAGACCCAGTCACGTGAAAATGCCGGAGGGCATTCCTTCACTGTGTCTATACCCCACTTTCCTACCCAATGGGAGGCTTCCACTGTTCTCCTCACCGCCAATTTATTCTCACAACAACTCTGTGAGGTAGGCTAGGCTGAGAGGGTGCAACTGGCCCCAAGGTCACCCAGCAAGCTTCTGTGGCAGAGCCGAGATTCGAACCCAGGTCTCCCCGATACTAGTCTGACACTCTGAACCACTACACCACACTGTCCTTTAGGAAGGCACGGAAGGCAGGCCTCGTCTAAATAGTATCTACTTTTCCAGCAAGACCTGGCTTTGCGCCTGCCAGTGCTGCATGTTTTATACTCTCGGATGTGCGAAATCCGAATGCTCCCACGTTGGTAAATTTAAACTGTTTTAATTTTAGAACGAAGTTTGAGTCCAGTGGCATCTTTAAGACCAGCAAAGTTTAATTCTGGATATAAGCTTAACTTATTAGCATAACTTATTTGCATATGCCACACCCTCTGGCATCACCGGAAGTGGGTCAGAAGGCAACACCCACCGCTCAGGCTCCACTGGACTGTTTCGGATTGCTAGCTATTGGGGGGGGGATGTGCAGATCTGTCCTCACAGAGGAGGGAGAGCTTGTGCCCAATAAAACTTGGCCTTAAAGGTGCCACTGGACTGTTTCGGATTGCTAGCTATTGGGGGGGGGGACGTGCAGATCTGTCCTCACAGAGGAGGGAGAGCTTGTACCTGAATAAAACTTGGTCTTAAAGGTGCCACTGGACTGTTTTGGGCCGGGGGGTGTGTGTCTCTCTGCAGCTTACCTGGCTGCTTCTTGCTCTGACTGAGGGCGGCTGGGAGCAGGGGGTGGGGCTTGTTGCATGTGCCCACCCCCTGGGCTCTTTACTGCCGGAGCTCTGCTCCTGTGCACTCCTGCAGGAAATTACCCCTGGCTACGCACCTGAATTTGTTTTAATTTTGGTAATGGATGCTTTTGCAACCTGTTTGCTACACTGCAGGCTGCACTGAGTCCAAAGCGATAAAGTGGTATAGAAGCTGTTAAAGAAAGTTTGTCATCTTCTCTAATCCCCATGTGTAACAAGGAAGCAACAGTAAACTACCATGGATGAACGCAAACAGAGCTGCAGATTGCTTTATGCATACTGAAAAGAACGAGGGCTACTACGTCTGGTTGTCACCTGGCCACTGACCGCAGTGCAGTTGTCAAACCCTCCTGGGTTTGGTTTTGGCCCAGGTGAGCACCAGAGACCCCCTTGGAGCAAGCAGACCCCAACCTGGCGACAATTAAAAGATGCCTCTCCCCGCCAATGCTCCCTCTAAGCTGCGGAGTCCTGTGAGTAAAAATTCTACTTTGTGAGCTGCTGGCATTAAAGTTGTGAGCGAGCCATTTGGCTCCTGCATAACTTAGTTTGCTCTGGAGCCCTCCGTCTTGAGCTGAGACAAAAATGTGTGAGCCGGAGGCTAGAAAACTGTGAGCTAGCTCACACTAACTCAGCTTAGAGGGAACACTGCTTGTGAGCAAAAATCCTACTTTGTGAGCTGCTGGGCATTAAAGTTGTGAGCGAGCCATTTGGCTGCTGCATTGATCAGTTTGCTCCGGAGCCCTCCTTCCTGAGCGAAGACAAAACTGTGTGCGCCGGAGGCTAGAAAACTGTGAGCTAGCTCACACTAACTCAGCTTAGAGGGAACACTGCTTGTGAGCAAAAATCCTACTTTGTGAGCTGCTGGGCATTAAAGTTGTGAGCGAGCCATTTGGCTGCTGCATCAATCAGTTTGCTCCGGAGCCCTCCTCCCCGAGCTAAGGCAAAAATGTGTGAGCCGGAGGCTAAAAAAACCTGGGAGCTAGCTCACACTCACTCAGCTTAGAGGGAACGCTGGTTGCAGGGGCTGATGGCTTCCTAGTGGTCAGGCATTGGAGGCTACGCGGTTGTCAGATCCATGGGGAGAGAAACTCCTGGAGATCTGTGGGTGGGGCCTGGGGAGGACAGAGACCTCAGTGGGGCACAAGACCAGGGAGTCCACCCCCCATTTTCTCCAGGGGAATGGGTTGCTGTAGGTGAACTGTAACTCAGGGGATCCCCAGGCCCCACCCGGAGGCTGGCATCCCCAGTGCCCTTGGAGAAACACGTCTCTCTTGATTGATGACAAAATTGCTGAATGGTCCGCACAGCATAATCTAATCGAAAGCACTCAGAGCCCAATGAACAAATGGAAGGTTTTGCTAGCTAAACAGAACAGGTTTATGATGCACAGGCCACGTAATCCTTGGACAAATGCCTTGCCACTATACACGTTTCATTAGGTTAAATTGCGGGTTACTGATAATTTTATAACCTTTAGTTTTGATGTTCGTTATCGATTAGTTTGATGTAGCTATAGTCGTTACGTTGTTTGTCAACAAGATACTGTTTGGAAAGTTAATTTCTCCTTTTTGTTGTTACGGTATCAATATTTTTTTGTTGTATGTTGTATGTAATAAAATAATATTTAAATTTAAAAAAAGAAAAGAAAAAAGAAACACGTCTCTTGGGAGGGGGAACTCGTAGGCACCCCAACCAAGGCTCCCTCTAAGCTCTGGAGTCCTTTCGTTGTTGAGTTGGATACTTAACACGCACAGTCCTCCACCCCACATACAAACAGGAGGTAAGGGATACTGTTCAAGGGTAATATTGATCTGTACCTGTAACGATTCCTTGTTTCTGTGTGTGCCATCCTTCCTGAGCGAAGGTAAGAATGTGTGAGCTGGAGGCTAAAAAACTGTGAGCTAGCTCACACTAACTCAGCTTAGAGGGAACACTGCCTGTGATGAGTCCTTGTTTTTTTTTGTGTGTGTGTGTGTGTCTCTTTAACAGTTTGGTTGCATGGCTGTGGTAGATAGACTAGAATGGTTGAAAGAGGCAAGTGTGGTATGATTGGTGGTTGACAGAGAGGGGGAGGGGCTTTGGAAGGGAATCTGGTTGGATGAGTATGTGAGTCAGTCAGTAGTTTCAGTTAGATATTGACAGTTGATGTTCAGTTAGTTAGTTAGACAAGCAGTTCTGTGTTGAAGCAGTTACAAACTGACAGCTGTGGTTGTTCAGTGAGACAGAGAGAGAAAGATGAAAGCTGAATGTATAGGAAACAGTAAAGTTTAAGTGACCAACAGTTAAAGGAAAGTCTGAGGGTGAAAACAAACGGGAGAGAAACAGTGAACTCATCTGGTATTGAGATAAACAAGTGTTACAAAGTTACATGAAAAGATCCCTGTCAGTGAGGGAGAAGATTGTGTGTGATACCAAAGCAATTGTTCATCATTTACACATTACTAGTTACATTGTACCACCCTCATATTTAGTATTTGTTTCAATAAATCCTCTTTTATCAAAGTTTATTCCAGCTCTGAATGACAAACTTCCCAGGACCACATAGTTCCTCGTGAGCCTTGAACTCGGTCTACCAAACCAGTAAGCAAAAGTAAAAGCATAAAGGTTTGGAAATCCTTAACATTTCCTGGTGGCAGCAGATTCTACCCAGTTAAACAAAATACCGAACACTTTTAAAGTGAAACTAGTCCTCCCCAGTAAGGAGGACGTCACACCCTCCTTCCTAAGCGAAGACAAAAAAAATGTGTGAGCTGGAGGCTAAAAAACTGCGACCTAGCTGACACTAACTCAGCTTAGAGGAAACACTGCTCCCCGCTCCCCACAGCCCCTTCGCCACTCACGCACCACCGTGGAGCAGGTCGTATTGTCCAGCAGGAGCAGGTCTTGGCCAATCGCCAGGAGGAGGATAGTCACTCTGTCTTGGCACAGGACGGCCCAGCAGGAGGGGGGCTTCTGGAGGCCTGGGAGGGGCGGGAAACCCGGATTAGAAGGAAGGCGGAGCAGAGGCTCGACGGGGGCGGGACTCTTATTTCATACGTCTGTCTGATTGGTGACAGTGGCCTCTGACATCAGAGATGGAGCTTTGCACGTCATTCACTAAAGAGGCTCACGTAAAAATACATGAAAGCGTCATTTCAAAAACCACAATTTCAGGAATGCTTTACTCAAATGTCAGTCCGAAATAAAAATAAAACTCGCTCCGTCTTAAAGGTGCCGCCGGACTTGGATCTGATAGAGCGATGGCACAAAACACATTAAGAGCGTAACGTTTAAAATCACAATTCACAATTTAAGCGGAACAGTCCTGGAAAAAGGAGAAGGGACTTTGTTTTGAGACGGCCCGTTCCTGATACAGCAAGACGGTGCTACAGGGAAGAAGAAAGAGGAAAACAGCAATGGAAGAGAAAATGAGATTGTGTAATATCTACTGAGGGAGACTTACTGTTAATGTGCTTTTAACGGTGGAGGGGGAAATAATGGTTCCATGAGATGCCATTATTCTCTGTAATTTGTGTCGAAGTTAAACAGTGATTCTCCTGGACTACACTTCATATAGTCAGATTTGTTGGGATGTTTTTACAAGTTTGATGATGACTGATCACTCTCAATGTTAAAGAAAGCTTTTTACTATTGCTAAAAAATTTTTTTACAAGCTGCATGTGACCTCCAACCCTTGGGATTTTAGTGGGTTTTCTTTTCTTCCTCCTATAGTGTGTAGATCCCCTCCCTAATTTCGTTGTAGTTTTTAGTAAATGCAAATAAAAAATCCCCTACGGGGGGCCATTTAAAAAATATATTACAATTTCAGGATTGCTAGGAAACCTAGCAGTTCGAAGGCAAGAAATCGCAAGTAGATAAATAGGTACCACTTCAGTGGGAAGGTAACAGTGTTCTGTGCGCCTTGGTGTTTAGTCATGCCGGCCACATGACCACGGAAACGTCTTCGGACAGCGCTGGCTCTTCAGCATTGAAACGGAGATGAGCACCGCAACCCTAGAGTTGGACTCGACTGGCTTTCGAGCAAGGGAGACCTTTACCTTTACCTTTTAGGAAACCTGACTTAACGTGATCCTAAATAAAACCATCTTCGGCTGCCTCTGAAAGATGGGAAGGGAGGGAGCCGGGCGCACCTCCCTGGGGAGGTTGTTGCACAATCGTAGGGCTACCACCAAAAGGGCCCTCTCTCTCGTGTACCCACCAAACAAATGCCTTTGATTGACGGGACAGTCGGGAGAGCCTCTCCCTGCGACTGTAATGCACGGAGAAAGAGAGAACACACAGGAGAAGACGGTACTTTGGATGCCCCAGTCCCAAGCCATAGGGGGGGTTAAAAGTCAAAAACAACACCTTGAATTGGGCTCAGGAGTGGATCAGTAGCTAGTTTTAATGCTGAAATGTTTTACTGTGTTGATATTCACTGCCTTGGAGACCCTATTTGGGTGGAAAGGCCGCAGAGAAAGGCTTAGAGAGAGATAGACAGACAGACTTAGTACACCACTCGGAAGGAAGGAAGGAAGGAAGGAAGGAAGGAAGGAAGGAAGGAAGGAAGGAAGGAAGGATTAAAGTGAGAGGAGAGAAAGAGAGAGAGAGAAGGAAAGATAGAAAGAAAGGATTAAAGTGAGAGGAAAGAAAGAAAGAAGAGAAGAGAAGAAGAGAAGAAGAGAAGAAGAGAAGAAGAGAAGAGATTGGATTTATACCCCTGCCCTTCACTACCCAAAGGAGTCTCAGAGCGGCTCACAAACCCCTCTCCCTTCCCCTCCCCACAACAGACACCCTGTGAGGTAAATGAAGAAGAAGAAGAGATTGGATTTATACCCCGCCCTTCACTTGGAGTCTCAGAGCGGCTTACAAACTCCTTTCCCTTCCCCTCCCCACAACAGACACCCTGTGAGGTCGGTGGGGCTGAGAGCCCTCTGACACAAACTGCTCTTTTTCAAGGACAGCTGTGCCA